TCCCCTCCCTGTCATTGTCCTGCAGTGTCTGATCTGCTGTCTTGCCCACAGACCTCCTCCCTCTCTGGTCCTGCACCCCAGACCATCACACTGCTCCCGTGTCCCCTGGACACCTCTCAGAGCGGGGGTGTCTTTGTGCCTGGCTGGCAGTGACCTGGCGACTGTCACTCATCCCAGCAGCTCCCTGTGAGCTTTTTCCTCGCAGCACCCTTCCCCAGTCCCCTCCTGCTGCCAGCAGGAGTCCCTCCCAGGTGCTCGCTGGGCATGGCAAACCCTGGGAAGGCATTACCCTCACAGAAGTCAGGTTAACCCCCGAGTTTGTTTAATCTAGTCTTCCAGTCCTCTTCCTCACAGGTTTCCTTGGCAGCAGGGTGTGAATGCTGGATCCCAGGCACTGCTCACCCAGGGGGTCTCCAGGGGTGCCCAGCCCCTGCCCTGGGACCCCCAGCCCTGCAGCTCTCTCACAGCCTAGCCCCTGCCTTTGCACAGCCTCCCTGGACCTCGCAGCTCCCCAGCCTCTCCCGTCACCGTGCACAGTGCCCCCAGGTCCCCGCTTGGACTCTTCCTGTCGCCGGGACATCATTAGAAATGTTAATTATTTATTATCACTAAAAGCCCTTTTTTGCTGCATTGCTGTTCTCTGCCTATATCTCTGCCCCGTGCTGCCTGTAACCGGATCCGCCTGCGCTCGCCTCCTGCCTCGCAGTCCCTGTCCCTGCTTTCCCCCCTACCTGCTGGGACACGGGCTGCGGGAGTGAGAGCTTCCACCCCACTGCAGGACGCGGCCCTGTGGGACGAGCTGCACTTGTGCCCCTGGGATCCCAGAGCCCTGCGGTGTGGAGATGCACCAGTGGCAGAGCCCAGCCTGGGGACTGCCCTGTCCCACGCCGGGAGAGGGGACAGGAAGACAGAGGAAGGAGCTGGCTGGCGCTGTGATGGAGCGAGGAACCATTAGCTCTTCTCAGCCAAGGACAAGGATGTCCCTCCCCAGAAGCACTGGGATGGGGCTCCCTGGCCAAGGGATATCAGCAGGGTGGAGGCATCAGGCTGTGCTGCAGCCCTCCCAGGCAGCATTCCTGGCTGGGAAAGAGCAAACAGGCTGAGGGGGAGCCTGCGGTGCTGCTTGCAGCCAGCTGGGGCTGGCAGGACACACTCGGGGCAGCCAGCTGCTTCAGAGAAGCCATGCAGCTGCAAGGAGGCAGGGGAATGCCCAGCCTGCACAGCTCAGCCTCCTCTGCCAGGGCTCCTGAAAGATTTATCAGCTCCAAGTGGACCCCATTGATGAATCAATTAAAGCTTATCAAAAGCAGTAGAGTTCCTTCCCATGGGGCAGGGCTGGCACTGGATGCAGCAGCTCTGCCACAGCCAGCGCTGGGTGAGACAGGGAGCTGCTTCAGGCTGCAACATCCCTGAACACTGCTGGGCAGAAATCACCTCCTGGCAGCAGCTGTGCCTACAGAGCCAGCCACGGTGCCCTGGTACCTTCTAGGGACTGTGGCAGAGCAGGCTGTGACAGTGCCAGTGGGAGGCAACTGGATAAAACCTTACATGAGGCCTCTCCCTCGTATTCCCCCCACCTCCAGAAGGAGCCAGGCTATCCAGCCAAGCTGCCCAGCCCTGGCGCTGTCAGGCCCTGCTGCTCACGGTGCTGTCCGTGCTGGAGGGCGAGGCAGCAGCGGGAAGCAGGCCAGGGTGACAGCTGTGGGAGGGACGCTGGGGATGGCTCCCCCGGGAGCGCGGGGAGGAGCACCCAGGCGGCTCCTGGAGCGGTATTGATTCCTGCAGCACAGGCACTGCCTTCTGTGCCTGTTCATTGTCGCTGTGCAGGAGAACAAGGAGGGAGAGAAGCCGGCTCCCCCCTCCCCAGGCAGCCCGCCCTCCTGGGGGCCGCCGGCAGCACCAGCTCTGCCCGCACAGCCCGGCTCCCCTGCATCCTACAGCACTGTCACGGGCTGCTGAGTCCCCAGGTGTTCCGTGCAATAATGCAAAGCAGATATCATCCACCCCAGCCCCAAGCTCTCTGCAGTCCCCTCCCCACAGGCTGAGCGTGTTCCCTGGCCAGGCATGGGAGAGACACCCAGGGCTGTGGGTGCTCTGCCTGCCCCTGGGGCTGACAGGCAATTCCCTTGTTGTTCCTGCACACCCCTTGCTGTTCCCCAGAGCTTTTCTCTGCCAAAAGCACTCCGTAAGCATTTGCTCTGCAGCAATAAATCAGAGGGATGCTCACGCAAGCACGGGCCAGCCCTGTGCTCCCTGGGACCAGGGTGCAGCAAGGTGCTTGAGGCAGTGCTCAGCCCCAGAATGCGGTTCATTCATTTCCTGCCTGCCCACAGCTTGGTGGGGTTCCAGGTGGCAGGTCTCTGAACTCCTTGGGTTGTCTGGATCCTTTAGGACTAGAGCAGAGCAATCAGGGACCCCTCTGCACCCACGTGTGGTCCCAGAGGGTCCCCAGGACTGGCTGGGTTCTGACATGGATGCAACACCCTTGGTTGTGAACAAGGTGGTTCCCTGTCTCTGGACCATGCCTGGTTGTCCATGTTCCTGCTGCTCAAACCCTGGCAAGGATCCAGGGAGAAGCATCCAAAATCCCTGCCCCCTCTGACACCCCAATGAGCATGTTGAGCCAGCAAGTTCTCCCTGAGAGCCCCGGGAGCCACAGGAATTGACCGGCTCTCTGGGGGCTGGGAAGAGGCTCACAGAGAAAAGGCTGGTCAGGGAGAGCTGAGGCTGCCCCGTGCTGCCCCTCCCATTCCAAGGGCCAGGGTTCAAGGCAGTCGCTGCTGTGCAAGCAGGAGCTGTATGCTCAGCTCACTTGAGATCAGTGCCAGATCTGGGGCTGCCAACAGCTCCTTTCTCTCCCGCACTGCTCCTTTCAGCCTGTGCCTCCCCACGGCCCCAGCTGATGCAGCTGCAGATAAACAGACAAGGAGAGCCAGGCAGCAGCTCCTGGCTTGCTCTGCTGTCCCCTGGGAGGCGCAGACATGGCAGCTTTAGATCAAAACTCTTCAGAAGCAAGAACAATCCCAGCTATCAGCAGAGAGCGGCTGGCTGGTTCCCGGCATTCACTCTGCTGGCTACATGACATGGGCAGTGGGTTTTGGACTCAGGCACTGGGACCACTGATGCAGAGCCACGGGATACTGCAGCTCCCACTGGCATGGACAGGCTGGGGGCAGAGCAGGCAGCAACAGGTGACCCCCTGTCCCAAAACCGGGAGCAGTGGGACACTGCTTCACTGCTTTACACAGAACTAGTCAGCCTTTAGGGAGTGGTATCTCCATGCCTGGGAAGACTCCCAGGACCCCTCAGACCACTCTAGCCCAGGAGAAGCTGAGCCATGGTCAAGCCAAACCCTACAATATTATTCTGGGGTAGCTCAGGGAGCAGTTCAGGTGGGATGCCCTGACCCATCTGCCCTTTCCTGGGGAGCATGGGGGTGTTAGCGGTGCAGTGGGTCTCTGTCCCCATGGGTGGCAATCTGGAGGGTACCACCGTGTCCTTTGAGGGAAGCAGGAGCACAGACACAGTGGCTGAGGCTGGAGAGGACACAAGACTGTGTTTCTAGTGGACAAAAGGAAGGGGGTCCTTCTGCAGCCCACACCTTGCGGTGCTTGGACTGTTTTACTGCTGCCATGGAAACTGCTGTGGAGCATCATTCTGTTGCACTGACCAGGGTGACCAGGCCATGGCAGTTCCCAGCTTCTTAGTGCTCTCACACCTGGATTTACAGAATGGGAGAGGCTGGGTGCTGCCTGCCAGTCACCATCCTTGGGTCACCCTGTGACAGGATGGGGGCATCCCCGGGTAGGGCTGTTCCATCCCCAAGGAACAGAAGGGATGGAGAAACCAGATAAGTGCAGGCAGGGGCTGTCTGGTGCCATTCCCAGACAAACCCAGCTCCCACGCGGCCAGGGGCTCCACGCTGCTTGGCCTCCCGCAAACATAAATCATTTTCTAATTTATAACATGAATAATTGATTTTGCCTCCATAGCTGGCGATAAATCTCCTGCGCGCACATGCATAAGAAAATAATAATAATGAAAGTGATCAGGATCTGCTGCCATCGATTACCTGTGAGAGGGGACACGGTCCCCTGTGTGCCACACGAGGCTGGGACAGGGGCTGCTCCCCAGGGGATGCTGCGTGGCCCTGCTGATGTGAGCTTTCCTTGTCCTGCACAGGGGCACCTGTCTGAGCTGGGATGACTGGACCTGTCCTAGTCTGAGCCCCTGGGGCTGTACTGGGACCCACACTGGGCAGTCAGGGAGGTCCGAGTACTTCAGGGTATCCCACACCTCAGGCATGAGCGGTCCCAGCCTTGTAACTGCACCTGGGGAGGGATAAAGTGCTCGGCACAGCCCCATTCAGGGATGCCGCGTGGATGCCCCAGTGGCACCTTGCCAGGGTGGCCGTGACCGGCCCCGTGTCCCGGCAGCTTCAGTCTAGGGGGAGCCGCAGCAGCTCTGGCTGCCGGCTGCCCGGTCCCGGCACGGGCAGGCAGCGCGCCCGCCATGGCACGTTCCGCTCCCCGGGCCACCTCCTCCCGGTACCCACACCACGAATCCGGCTGGGAATCGCACCGGAGAGCTTCGGCTCGGCAGGAAGGAGATCCTGCAGCGGGGAGTGGGCACAGACCCGCTCTCCATCAGCCAAACTAACCAGGGCGGCCGCACCGCCTTGCCCAAAGAGCTGTCCCCATGCCTGCCCGCCCGGCCACAGCGAGCACCGCGGCTCCGCCCGCTGTGCGACACTGATCGGTAACGGGACACCGACGGCAGCCTCGGGGGGGAGAGCGGGGGTCGCTGTCCCTCTGTCCACACCATCCCGGCCACGGGGCCTCCTTCCTGCGGTGCCGGGAAGCAGGGCCGGCCGCGGCCCCGGCGGTGCCGTGCAGAGCACGGTGTGCGGCGGGGCGGCCCGCGCGCCCCGGGCCGGGGGAGGAGCGGCGGCGGGGCGGGGCCGGCTGCCGGTGCCGCACTACAGCTCCCGATGCCGCGGCGGGGCGCTCGGTGCCGGGGCACAGCGGCCCGAATTACGCACCCTGCCCGGTCCCGGCGCTGCCCCGCTCTCCCTCTCGGTGTCCCAGCCCCGATCCTCATCCCCTGCCCCGTCCCTGTCCCCCAGCCCTGCTCCCCTGGCCCTGATCCCCCCCTAAGCCGCCCTCCCAGTGGCTGGCGGGCAGCCCCGGACAGCCGGATAAGGGCACCCCGCACACCCCGTAACTCCGCACCCTACACAGGGCAGTGTGAGCCCGTGAGTGCCGCGGAGCTGCACGCGTTCCTGGGCCGTGTAGAACCCGTGTCTGGTGCTCACACGTGCTGCACGCTGCTCTCAGGGCTGCCTGCAGGCCCCTGCCATCCTCGTGTATCCTTCACACCACCTGCGAGGTTCTGTGTGCTGCCTGCTGTGGGGCTGTCACAGCCTAGAGCGGCCCATGGCACGATGCTGGTGACCAGATACGCCTCTTGCACATTTTAGGGTGGTCATCGCAGTCACTTGCTTTCTGGTGTAAGTGCACTGTAGGGCTCTGGGCCTTGCTTTTCAGGCTGCTCTTACTCCTTGAATAGCTACTTTGGTTAATTTAGCTTCATTTTCCCAGGCTGGGTCTTGCTTTGTTTCCTGCTTACATTTCTGGGATCCTTTCAATGGTGTCTTCTCTGGATGGTGTTTATAGCAGCTCACTGCTCAGTATCATCTAATGACAATTCCTTGTTCAAGCTGAAGTTTGAGAGATGCTGTAAAACAAGACCCTGAAGTTCAGCTAAGTTGGCTCTTGCTTGTCTCATCAAAAAGCTTTGCCCAGTGATTCTTCTGAAATAACTCTGGGCAAGCCAGTGTCCATCATTCATTGTGCAGGTGTGTGCCGGCTCCTTTACCTGCCAGTTTTGTCTCTGGGGATAGGAACAGGGTTTATCCTGTTCTCAGCTCTGGCTGTGTTGTGCTTTCTTGCAGAGAAAATCAGTGCCTTGTTTGCTCTACCCATTACTCAGGCCCTGGTTTCTCCTTGGCACTGTGTGTCAGCAGGTTAATAGGTTCATCTCTGCACTGGCCAGGTGACTGTGTCTGTGTGGACATGCTGTTTTTGCTTTTCCTGCAGCTGTTTTTGCAAGGCCTCTGCCTCATTTGCATTTTTCTGTTTAAAAACAGTGATTTTTCCCTTTTGAGTCATCTTTATTTTTGAGACATCATTAATTTTCTCTGCCTCCTTGTTTATTAATAGACCTTTTCACTTTTGTGCTGATTCTGCCTGGTTATATTTGTAAAGTCCTTTGTACTCCCCTTAGCATTCTGGCTGTTAACTCCTTCTGCTGGTTTGTTGTCCCTTCCCTCTCCCGAGCCCCCCTGCAGCTGTGAGGGGACACTATTGACTTTCAAATCATCTTCCTGTCTGCAATGTTCCCCTTCTCCTGTTCAGGTATCTCCTAAGAGCATCTATATATCCAGGTATCTCCTGAGAGTATTGCGGGTGAAAGGCACGATTGAAATCTCTGAGTGCCTTTGATGCTTTTGCCACCTCCTCACACAGCCAGTGTTGCTGTGGCTGCTGAGAGCTCTTTCTCCTGGCAGCAGGGGACAGGACGCCTTAAAGCCTGCAGATGCAGCTCTTTGCTCCTTGAATGCTTTGCTTTGCCGTGTACCAGTGGCTGTGTTCATGCCTTTGCTCTGTCTCCACCAGGTATCCAGGTCCTTTCCTGGCCCCGTTGCCCGCTGGTGAGCCAGGTGGCCTGGGCTGGAGCTCTGCTGAGAGCAGGAGAGGTGCAGGGTAGCCAAAACCTCTGACAGTCCTTGCTCAGGCTGCCAGGGGCTGGTGTTGTGCAGTTGGTAAGTGTGCCATGGCACGTGCCTGGCATGGGATGAGTCCTGCAAGTGGCAGGTTCCCCAGTGGAGCTGTTTAGAATCTCCTTGTACCTGCCTTTTTATTAATCTTGTTATTGTAGTTATTTTTTTCCCCTTCAAAGAGCCCAATCTGCTGCAGGCTGTAAAGAGTGACTTTGTGGTGTGCGAGCTGCATGCCAAGGCTGTGTGAGGTCCCCCAAGGCTCCTGGTCCCCCAGTATTGCCATCCCTGTTCACTGTCAGGGCTTTAAGGTTATCTACTCTATCGATGGGAATATGGATTGAGTGGAATTAGAAACCTCGAAGGCTAAAAATACAGCTCCCTGCCAGGAAATGCGGCAGCCTGCTGAGAGGGTGCTGTGTGGCACTGAGACTTCTCCAGGAACTGGCATGTTCCACAGGAGCACCACAGCCCAGCAGGCGTGCCTGTTCCCAGGTTCCCTGAGCAGGACTGTGGCTGGCTTGCTCTTGTTTGTGGGGTCCCTCCCTCGACAGGACAGGGAGAGAAATCAGGGAGAAAACGCTGCCCATGTGTGCTGATGTTTGCTAGAGGGGAAACTCAGGCTGGCACCTGCTGGGCAGCTCACTCAGACCCCACAAATGCACACCATGAGCAGGGTGTTCCTGGGAGCAGTGCAAGAGGAGCCCGTGCCTTCAGGGAGCTCTGGCTGCCTCCTGGCTGATGATCCAGCATCCTCCTGGCCATGCTGGGCTGATGGGCTTTACATGCCAGACAGCTGGGCAGCACTCCTGTCACCACTTTTACCATGGTACCATGGCCTTTCCCTGCTTGGTGCCACAGTGCTGAGTTGTTTTGCTAGGCAGGTCCATAAAACAAGACAGCATCTGGAGCAGCACAGACCTTTTTGGGGATGCACTGCTCCTTGCTGCCTGTCTTTGTGGGGCAAGCTTGGTCCCAGACTCTGGAAGTGGTAGGGTTGCCCTGCCTAGTGTAGTGTGAATGAGACCCAAAGCCAGGGCCATTGCTCTGCCTCCCAGAGCATGAAATTAGTTGGTGCTGACCCGTGGCTGTGGCATCGATGAAGTGTTTGATAGGCTGGGGGCAGGGGCTGTGCTGCCCTGTGGGGAAAAAGCAAAGCTCTGCAGCATCCCTGCCAGTGTGGGTCATCCTTGCCGTGCTTCTTCCCAGGCTGCAGGAAGCAGCTCTTCCCCAGCAGTGTGTGGCAGGCAGAGGCAAAGCTGTGCAGGGAGAGGATGCTCCCAGCACCAGCCGTCTGGCTAATGCTGCACCATCTGCTTTGGAGGGTGAGGCAAGGTGAATGGCAAGTTTTTGAGGAGCCCATAAATCCTGTGTGCAAAGGCTCTTGGAGGTGACATGGGATCTGCATGGAGCAATGCTGCTTCTGGTTGCTCCTGGTGCTGGAAATTGTCAGGAAGGAGAGCCTGGGGAGATCACTGACCCCCACAAGTCATTCAGCATGAGCCATGGCCTGGGACTCTTGGGCTTGGCTGGGAAAAGTCCTTCAGCAGAACATGCTTAGGTGCAGTTGGAAGCTATCTGTGGTTGGAAATGGTGGCGCCGGGGGGCTTCCAGTGCCCCCTCCCCTCTGGCACTCGGGCTGCCACTCGGTGAGAAAATGTATAATGCCTCAGTATTGAAAAATGACTAATCCAGTCCTTGGAAGGTTTGTAGGATACATTCCTTTCTTGCGGTCGATAAAGATAAAGGGGATCGTTCTGCCAGCAAAATTAGTGTATCAAAGAGGGGGGGAAAATGACAAGAGCTACGGAGACAGAAAAATGGTTGGGGCAGCCCTGGGATGGTGCTCAGCATCACCACAGCACCTGTGCCTGCACCTCATATTCCTGCCCACCTTCGCAGCCTGAGGTGCAGGCACAGGCACCACGGCTGTGCTAGGGGTACTGCCCTGCTGGGCTTTTCCAGTGGTTTCCAGTGAGCCATCATCATCCATCATGCCAAGGCCACGGTTGTCCATCCATCACAGAGGGGATGATGCCGTGTGGCACGGGCAGCCCCAGCCAGTGGTTGGCCTCCCCTCGCCTTCCCGGCACCACTGCTGGCTGCTGGTGAGGGGCTGCGGGAGCGTTCGCGCCTCGGTCGGGGCTGTGTGCAGGGGAGGCTAATGTACCGGAGGTGCCTCGGAAATGAGAGCCTTGGATGGGTTCCTGGCCCTATTGATCTGCCGGCAGTTTATGCATCCTGACATTCATAATCTCGGTCGGCGCTGATGGTCCAGATTAATGGGCCCAGGGGCTGTCCATCCGTCACTTCACATTAATTACTGAAGAGGTGTTTTTCCAGTGATTTACCTGACAGCGGCCTGTGATGAATCCCCCTAAACGGAGTGGGCAGTGATTAATCATGGGGCCCCAGCCCAGCCCCACTCTGCCTTCCCCTCAACCACAGTGCAGCCCCCCGCACCATCCGTCTCCATAAACCCTGTCTGATGCATATTTATGGGGGCAGGGGGGCCTGGCCGCTTGTGGTGTGCCTGCTTCTGCCAAAGATGATGAAAAATAAATCTCTGTCGGGACGGGGCAGCAGGTGAGCAGGGCTGCATCATGCCGTGGTCCTGTGCCAGGGTATCCCTGCGCTGGGCTTTGCTTTCTGTTGTTCTGTGGCTGCCTCAGGCTTCTCTGTGGTTTTTGATGCCTGAGTAGTGCGTGGTCTCAGTGTTCTGCTTCAGCTGCAGACACTGGTCCCTTGGGCTTGAGGGTCCCAGGTAGCAGCTGCCAGAGCAGGGCAGGCCCCCATTCTGTCAGGATTTCCCTCTTCTCCAAGCCAGATGTGCCCCACCAAAGGCTGTAGGGCTGTGGGGTGCTCCTGGCCCCAAACCCTGTCTGCAGATACGCTGCTGTGGGGCCGTGTTGGGGCTGCACAATCTGTCACTGTGTGCCCGTTGCTGAGGGAGCAGGGGTGGTGCTGGCACCGTGGCTCGGTGACCTGGGCAGGGGCTGATGGGCTGTGGGTGGACGGTGACACTGTGCTCTCCTTGGCAGGGCTGGCACCATGCAGCAGGAGGCGGAGGGCGGCCGGGTGCGCCGCAGGAAGCCTGACATGGCCCTCTACGTGCCCAAAGCGCGGCGGGAGAGAGAGGCACAAGCGGCAGGCGACACACGGGCTGGGCACCGCCAGGAGCCCGAGAGCCACCGCCGGGAGCCCGAGAGCCACCGCCTGCTGCAGGAGCCTGGCTGGGCTGGTGGCGAGGGGCAGAGGCGAAGAACACAGGCAGGCAGAGCGCTGGGCTGGTGGCGAGGGGCAGAGGCGAAGCCCCCGTGCCAGAACGCAGGCAGGCAGAGCAGCAAGGAGGGAGAACAAGGTGGATGCTGGCCCAAAGGAGCTGCGGACAGCCTCTGCCAGGCACAGCCACAGGACGAGAGGCGGCTGCCCTATTGCACTGGAAAGCCTGGAGGCATCACCCGGCGTGTGTGAGCCGTGCCCAGATCCAGCTGGTGCTCAGCACTGGGACAGACAGGACAAAGCATCTCATGAAGAACCCAGAGAACTCAGCCACGATCACAGGATAAGGACTGAGCCTGACCCTCCATCCCCACAGAATGCCCAGGCTGGGGCTGTGAAGGCTCCCCCTGAGCCTGGGGATGACCCCACTAGCCCAACACCCGCTGCTAGCCCAACATTGGTTTGTCAGACAGGTTTGAGTGGGACGTTGGAGCACTTGGGGGACAGCACCCTAGATCCAGCTGGAGACCTCTCCCAAAGCCTGGGAGAGGCTGCCCTGCAGTCAGCAGCGGGGGGCAACCATGGCAGTGTCCCCCAGTTGGTGGGAGAGACAGTGGGTCTGAAAGCCTGGGAGGAGGAGACGGGGAAGGAGAGGGGGGAGGAGGGGTCTCTCCTGGCAGAGCAGAGCAAGGGTTGTGCCACTGGGGTGCCGGAGGAAGAGGAGACATGGGAAGGCAGAGCTGAGCTTCCTGAGGAGAGCACCTTGTGTGCAGCAGGAGCCAGCTGCGAGCCCGTGTTCCTGAGGGGCAGCGTGGGGGATGTTCCAGTGCTGCCAGGGGAGAGCACTCCACAGCAGGGCACGGGCAGCCCATCCCAGCTCCCGCCTGCCGTGGAGGAGAGCACTGCTGGTGCTGGGGATCCCAGCGGGGAGGGTGACCTGGTGCCTGCTGTAGGGGAAGCAGGCAGCACTTCTGCCTGCACAGAGAGCAGTGCTGCATCTGAGAGCAGCCTGTGCAAGGGAGCACCTCTGGAAAGCTGTGAGCCCCCAGTGCCCCTAGAGCAGCTGTGCCACGGCATGGAGGGGATCTCACCTGCATCCTGGGCCAAGGAGCTGGCCAAGCCAGCTGAGGATGTGGGCTCGCTGCAGAAGGACCAGGAGGCTGAGGAAGAAGAAAGAGGTCTCCACAGCAGCTCCCTTAAGGAAGGACAGAGCAGTGCCAGTGCTGAAACCCTGAGCCAGACCAGCCCAGGTGCTGAGGAGAGCTGGGATGTGCTGTTCAACGATGATGGGGACTGCCTGGACCCACGCCTGCTGGAGGAGGTACTTCCTGCAAGCCAGTCTTGGTGGGGATTGCCAGGGTTGCTGACTGGTGCCCACCGGGATGTGGGGGATGTGTTCCTGTGCTCTCTGGGGTGAATGCATGGGGTGGGTGGGCTGCACCCAGGGCATGGTCAGCCTAGCTGGCTGTGCTGCCTGCTCTTAGGGCCAGCCTTCTTCTGTGCTGCCAAAGCACCTGGGATCTCCATCTTCTCCATCTGTCCCATCCCGTCCTGCATTGCTGGGGAAGGCTGGGGTGGTCATCCCTCTGTAGTACATACAGTGTGCCCAGTAAAACCTGCAACTGCACCCTCATGAAACCAGGGCTGGTGAGAAAGAAATGGGCTGAGATGTATGAGATCCCATTGAAACAGCAACGGGATGGTTCCTCGAAACTGTGGCTTCTTAATCAGCTGTGGCTCATTGCCATTCCCTCCTGCACACATGCTGCTGAATTTACTACAGTTGGCTGCTTAGTGCCAGGACCCACACCATTTTGCTGCCATTCACAAGGAAAGCTCAGTTCCTGCAGCAAGGCTGGATATTCCTTATTGCATTTTAAATCAGTAGCGTCACACTGGTAATTTTCCAAATAACATTATGTACCTGAAGAAACAAACAGCATTAATATTGTTACATCCAGCATCTGCCTACCCCTGGGTGGAAGCAGGGCGTGAAGTGATGGGTGGTGCCTTGATAACAGCATCTATGAAGGGATCAGATTAACTCAAGAGCACTCTTCCTGAGGGGCACAAATCCCACCTTGTCTGCAAGGCCTTGCTTGGGCTGATGTGTCTTCTTGGAGCCTGGCATGGTGCTGAGACAGTGGGACACAGAGGGCTCACATTTGGGATGTGGAGGGGCTTTGGGTATTCCAATCCCTGCATGGCTGTGCTCCCCTGAGCCACTGTCCCTCACCCTGCAGGCTGGAGATTGTGGTGAGTGCTGGTGCGAGGAGGACAGCACTGCTGCTCTGAGGCACACGGTGCATCTGGCACTGGCTGTCTGTGGGCTGATGCCATGGGCATGGCTTTGCCCTGGGGGAGGAAGGGCAGGGAGGATCCCTGCACCCTGTGGTGCAGCCACAGGATGCTGTGGGCAAGGTTGTGCTGTGCAGTACAGCTTCTCACTCCAAGGAGTATCTGTATTGGCTCCCTTATGCACAAGCTCTGAGACAAGTTTGAGCTTACCAGGGAGCTTCCCAAAATGGGTGAGAAAGACCCTGAAATAGGGATTCACCAAAAGCTGCCATCTTTGTCCCCTGCAGATTCCTACATGGTGCCTTGTGCTTCCTGAGCCCTCCAAGCTCCCAGCAGGTGGATGTAGCTGCCTGGGGAGGGCGCAGGCACTTGGGAAGAGGGAGCTGTTGTTAATTAACATAAAGAACAGGAAAATTAGTAACGTCTTCCTCGAAACCGAATCCTTATGCAATGCAGATAGCTGGCAGAGAACAAGATTTATGATGTTCTGTGTGGAGGAGAGATTTCTGATAGCGGATGGCTCTTTAATCTAGCAGGAAAAAACACCGTAGTGAGCAGCACAGGCTGGAAGCTGAAACCAGACAAATTCAGAGTAGAAATCGTTTTGAACAGAGAGCAATTAAACAGTGTGACTGTTTCCTGGGAGGCTCTGTGGACTCTCCATCAGGCGGTGGGTCATGGCAGGGGCCGCGGTGCGTGCGTGCCTGGGGCTGTGGTGTGAGCCAGCAGCCACAGACCCCTCTGACCTGCTCCGCCAGGAGTGTGTCTTCAGAGAGCAGCGAGATGTGATGGACAGGCTTCATTTTCCCTGTCTGTCTGTCCGTCCATCAGCGAGCCCTCCCCAGGATGCCTGCCAGGGCTGGGGGCCCTCCCCAGGACCGTGGCTGTGCCTGCCTGCCCTGCCCCACGGCTGGGGAGCTGCTGGCACGCTGTGTGCTGGGCTGGCAGTGCTGGGCACCTGTTGAGCCGTGCCTGCCGCGTGGCTGAGCCCTGCTGCCAGACGGCTCCTGTCCCTCCTGCCCCGCCACACCTGGTGATTTGTGAAGGTCAAGGGCTGCTCCGGCACTCTGTGCTCCTGCTCTCTAATCATCTTCCTGCTGCCTGGCACTGCCTGAGTGCTCTGCTCCCTCAAGCAGCACTGCAGGGCTTTATCCTGCCTGGGAACGGCTCCCTCGCCTCCCCTGAGCAGTTGCAGGTGCCTGATGAGTGTGCTGCCCTGCACGGGGGTGGTGGCAGGGCAGGAGGCTCTGCTGGCAGTGCTGGCTCGTCCCGTGAGCTCCATAACTCAGCTCTACCCTCCACCAGCACCCAGCCGCCATGGCAGCACCCCCTTACCTGCCGTGAATCCATCTTCCCCATAAAATTGTCGGAATGAGCACTTTTTATTGACTGAGCTGCCTGGGATTTATGGACTCTAACCTTGCAGTCGTGGTGTGCTCTGCTATGATGGCTCAGGGGATCGGGGTGGGAACCTGCCTGAGTTATGTACCCGTTTCGTGGCATCGTGCCAGCCCCACGCTCCAGGGGGAGCAGGGGAGCTGCCAGTGGCTTTGCACTGCTCCCGGCCTGGTGTCTCAGCTGAAGCAGGGCACTGAATCCCCTTGGCCTCTGGCACGGTGTGGTTTGGAAAGCAAGCATTCAGCAAGTGATGCAGGGTGGCCCACTGGGCAGAACATGGTGCAGGGTGACCAGCTGGCACTGGCAATGCTGTGGGCAGAGGGAAATAGGGGCTGCACCCTTGTGTTGTGGCAGCGGGAGGCTGCTGCCTGTTTTTTTTTTTTTTAAATAAAGGCTGTAAAATGTGCAAGGTAGAAAATCTCTACAGCCATCATCTTTTAGGGCTGGAGAAAGTGCCCCGCTGTGAGGTACTAAAGGTGCACAACCCATTTTATCAATAAGAAGATTGAGAAGGGGCTTGATTAACATTAGTAAGTGCTGTGATGGGGAGGAGACCAGGGACTGAGGGTTCTTTAATCTGGCAGAGTGGCAGAACAAGAACTGCCAGCTGGAATGTGAAGTCAGACAAATTCAAATGAGAAATAAAACATAAATTTCTAGGTGCACAGGTGATTAACCAGCAGAACTCGTTCCTCAGTGGAGCACTGTCTTTTTCATCTTGGTATCTGGGGTGCTGATAGGCTGCTCCAGTGCATGTGCTGCAGCCAGGGCGTGCTGAGCCTGGTGCTTCCATGTAGCAGAGAGACATCAATCTTTCCTTCTGGCATTACTATCCTGCTCCTTGTTCTTCCCCTAAGGTATTTCAGGTCATCACATCACTGTGGAAGGAGGGGTGTGCTTGGATATTCATGTGCTGTTTCACCCCTGCCATTCCTACCAGGTCCCTGACTTGGCTGCAGAATGTGGCAAGTGGAGGGATGCTGGTAATGGGAAAAGCAAGTGCATGGTGTGAGAACCCTGCTTGGTAACTCCTAATTCTCAAAGCCATGAATCCATCTGCAGTGCTGGGGTGGGGTGCAGGGGCTTGACAACTTTCTGGGGAGTGCTTGCCGTGGGTTGGGAACTGCTGTGAGGCAGGTGGGCATGGGTTGCTCAGTGCTGTGCTTCTCCTACTGCTGCAGCTCTCAGGGGGTGAGAAGCACCAGGAGAGCCAGCAGTCACCCCGCTTCAACTACTATGGGGCCGAACCTGCTGCCCCAGACATCAGTGACGATGAGCTGCCCCACGTCATCGAGATCTACGACTTCCCCTCGGACTTCCGCACCGAGGATCTGATGCGTGTCTTCTGCAGCTATCAGTGAGTCTGTCCCTGCTGCTGGGGTTCCCTGCCTGGGCTCTGCTCCACATGGCTGCCCATCAGGTGCCCATGCCTTGCTGACCTTCCCTCTCTTTGGCAGGAAAAAAGGCTTTGATATTAAATGGGTGGACGATACGCACGCCCTGGGCATCTTCTCCAGCCCCATAACAGGTACTGCTCCTGGTTCAGCTGGGGATGGGCAGAGAGGAGGCATCCCTCTGCCACGGCTGGATCCTGGGCGTGGGCTGACCCTGCACGTGGACGTGCTGCTCTCTTCCTGCAGCACGCGATGCCCTCAGCACCAAGCACCTGATGGTGAAGACACGGCCGCTGTCCCAGGGCACCCGCGCCTCTAAAGCCAAAGCCAGGGCATTTGCTGGTGAGTGGTGCTGCCCTGTGCCAGCTTGTGCCATCGTGCTTGTGCTGCAACCTCATCCTGATAACTGGGGAGGGATGGGGCAGCCAGCACGGCCCCACAGCTGTGCTGGCTGCCCTGTCCCTCCCAGAGTGCCCCACTGACGTCCCCCATCCTCACAGAGTACCTGCAGCCGGCCAAGGAGCGCCCTGAAACGTCAGCTGTGCTGGCCAGGCGGCTGGTGATCGGTGCCCTGGGGGTACGGAGCAAGCAGACACCGGCACAGCGGGATGCAGAACGGAGGAAGCTGCAAGAAGCTCAGGGTGAGATTTGGGTGCCTGGAGGGGCTGCAGTGTAGGGGGGCCTTGCTCATGCACGCTCTGTCTCACAGAGAGCTGGGTGAGAGGGGGCTGCAGCAGGGGGGACTCCAGCCACTCCCACAGGGAGGTGGGGCGGTGGGGATGTGGCATTGACCCTGTTGTCTCTGCAGAGAGGAAGCGCCTGGAGAACAAGCAGCGGGAGGATGCCTGGGAGGGCCGGGACTGAGCCAGGAGGCTGCACTTTCAGCCCATGTCCCTCCCTGCAGGCAGGCAGAGCGCTGCGTCTCAGAGCTGGGACAGATTCTGCACTGCCTCCAGAAGCACTGGGCTGCTTCACCGAAAGGGCTGAGCAGCGTGTGAGCTGGTTGGTGCTGTGGGGATGCTGTTGCTGTCAGGCAGCACTGCCCACCCTGCCCAGGGCAGAGCCCCCAAGGCTGCCAGCCCCAGCAGGAGCGACAGCAAGACGCAGGGAGCTCAGCAGAGAGCACGGGGGGCTCTGTGGGGTGGCCCTGGCCACCTGGAAGGGCCTTGTGAGTGAGAGTTTCTGTCCTTTATTTTGCTAATAAATGCCATTTATTTTATTTGCTTGCCTGGGTGGTGGCTCCTCGTTCCCTTCATTCCGGGAGAGGGTGTGAGTGCCGGGGGCTGGTCCGCAGCGCTGAGGGGATGTCCCCCCCTCCCAGGTGCTGGGTGTCCCCAGCGGCTGTGGGGGATGTGCAGGCAGGAGGGATCGGGCAGGAATGTGCTGGCAGCAACCCTGTTTACTTCCGCGGAGCAGCTGCAGCCCTGAACAGCAGGGCCCTTGTCAGAGCATGGGCAGGGCCATGTTCCTGGCCCCACATGGGGCTCTGATGTGGCCATGCTGCCATCCATGGCAGGCTGGGGGGCTTCCTGCCCTGCCCCCGGGTGGAGGCTGGCACCTGGGACCTGCCTTTGGCTCTGCTTTGCATCATCTCTCAGCACCTGAAAAACAGCCCTGTGTGCCCCAGCACTCCCACCCTGTAGCTCCGCAGACTCTGAGGTTTTGGGGCCTTTCACAGGAGGTGAGGATGGGGATGATGCTTTTCTGCCACTACTGCCAGCAGTTTGCATGCTTTTGGTCGCTGAAGTGCTCATGTGGCTGCCCTGTGTCCCCTGGCTGTCCCCCAGCTTGGCAGCAGTGGGGCAGGTCATGACCCCGTGGTGGTGGCTGCCTGCCCCTGCGCCATCCGGCAGCGCTGCCAGCTGGGAGCCATCTCGGCTGCTCTTCCTGGATGCTCGTGGCTGGGCCAGTGGAAATTCCAGGGAGCAAAGCTGCTCTCATGTGGAAAACATCTTCCCGGCCATCCGGCATCCCTCAAAGCCCAGCCTGGCCGGGTGAGCCTCCACCAGCACGTGCCTTGCCACGGTCCCTGGCCTCGGGCCCCTCCAGCGCATCACCGTGTTCCCAGCAGCAGCTCCACGTGCAGGGACCATCACGTGTGGGTGCAGCCTGACTTGTCCTGGGCCGAGGTGGGTGCTGACAGCCCCCCACCCCGGGCTGGTGCCTGCCAGTGAGGCAGGAAGGGACAGAGGTGTGCAAGGAGAGGGGTGGCACTGCCCCGTGGCTGGCGAACTGGGGAACAGACAGTACAGAGTGTGTTGGTGACATTCCCTTTTATTTCCTGTTGTAAGAAAAAAGATAGAAACCACGGGAGGTGAGAAACAGAGAGCGAGGGCACAGTGTTCCCTGTGTCCCCACACTGTGCCCAGGAGCAAGGGCTTTGAGGGACAGAGTGGCCCTACCACAGCTCCCATGTCTGGGAAGCTGCCAGGACAGCCTGGGAAAGCCCAGCATGTCAGCTGCATACACTGTGGCTGCTGGGCTGGCTGCCAGCCCGTGCTGCCACAGAGCTGGCTGGGTCTTTCTGCACGCACAGGGTTAGCCAGTTCAGGGCCAGGGTGTCCTGGCCCACAGGGACCACTGATGGCAAGCCAGAGCTGCTTGATGCCAGCCACGTGCAGGCAGCCAGGGAGTTGGTGGCCCTGGGTGGCACAGAGGGAACACTGCCTAGCTGGGGACACATTGCCTAGACCAAGTTGTTCCCAGCTGGGGACTGGCTTCATGATCCTAATAGGAAAGAGTGCAGGGAAAGGAGGAGGTGATGGTGAAGGAGTAGCCCCTCTTCCACAGCACAGCACCCTGCTCCCAACTCACAGAACCTTTATTGAAGACAGGACTGGTGCATGGCTGGCTGGGGACTGTCCTGAGTCTGCTGGACTGGGGGGCTGGGCAGGCTGAGGTAGTTGTCCTGGGGGGCCCTGGGGCTGTGGGGGTGAGGCCTGCTGCAGTACTTGGGCCACTCTCAAATCCCGCTGGCAGCATGGGACTGGGCACCCCCAGGCACTCCCTGCCAGCCCTGGCGCTCATCTCCCTCCTCTGCAGCATCAATAAATACAAAAGTCTGCAAGTCCCTGAGCTCACTCTGGTGCTGCCAGGGCACAGGGGCTGGGGTGTGGGAGCTGGACTCTCCCGTGGCGCTGCTGGGACCACGGCAATGCCAGGGGTTCACACGAGGTTGTTGGCCAGGCGCTCCCGTCTCTCCAGATCGCTCACCACGTCGGCACCGTAGGCATCACCTGGGGAGAGCAATGTTGTTGTGGGGGTAGGTGTGTGTGTGAGGGGGTGGCACAAGAAACCTGTGACACCCTCAGACTCATCACTTCCCTCACCCTGCCTGCCATAGCCCCTATGCTCCCGTCCCTCCTTACTTGTGTGGCAGCCGTGCATCCAGACACGCTGCCCATCATACTTGCACTGGCACCTCATCACGTTGTTGGAGAAGTCCGACTCAGCCACCTCATGCTTGGGGTTCACGACCACCTGGGGAGGGCAAGGGGCAGGGCTGGGAGCACCTCTGCTATGCCCTGGCCAGGCAGGGCTGTGGCATGCACAGCAGGGTACAGAGCAGCACCCTGATGTGCAGCACGAGAGATGCTGTTGTGCCCATGGAGGGCACTCCCCAGCCCTGAGATCTGGTAGCTTGGTGTCCCCCACCCCTCCATCCCCATACCTGGAAGGTGTAGCTGCCTGGTGGCACATCGGTGATGTCAATCCACTGGCAGTCGATGTCATGGCGGTAGGTGTCCCAGCACCCCACACTCACCCCCTGCTCACCGAAGTTGGCACAGGCGAAGCGTCGCTGAAGGCCTGCAGCAAGGAGGGAGGTGAGGGAGGCACAGACAGAGCCCCTTTGGGGAGCAGAATGGGGGTACGGTCAGCTCTGCAGCTAGCACCTACCTTCGGGGCAGTTGGTGTCTTCCAGGCAAAAGCTGGCCTTGTGCCCCTCGGCCACCTTGGAGCCATTGAGCGTCAGCAGATCGTAGTGGGTAAAGACCTCGATGCTGTGGAAGTGTCTGTGGGGACAGGGGCTGAGCACAGGGCCAGTGCCCGGCCAGGGAGCACGTAGCTGGCCCAGGCAACCCCGGCAGAACTTCCGGCAGGGCAGCACCCAGGGACTCAGCAAATTACAGCCCTGAAGCCAAATAAAGCCGTAATGACAGTGCTGGCTCAGACGCTGTCAATTACCCCGGCTGGGACAGCCTCCTGGGGACGGGTGCCACCATGCCCTGCCTGGCCCAAGGAGAGCAGCTCCCTGCCAGCCCCTGCCTGTGGCCCACTCACCGGTGGCACTGGTGCCAAGTCCAGGCATGACGCCCCATCCTCGGTCGGAAATCGGCTCTTCCCAGGTTGTGGATCTGGGAGGAGAAGCGAAGAAGGCGGCGGTGGCCATAGGGCCACTGCATGCTGTCAGCAGAGCGGGAGAGGCAGCGCTCCTCATGGGCGCAGTACAGCAGCCCCAGCGGTCGGTCCTCCAGGTAGGCTGTCTCCTGCACCAGCTGGGCGTTCATCACCAGGTCTGGGGCGTCTGGCATGGAGGGGATCAGCGGGGATTGAGAAGGTGATCCCCTTCATAGCACCCCCTACTCTCCTACAGGAGAAGGGGGGTGCCCCCTCCCAGCAGCGCCCCACGGGCTCCTGCTACTCACGGGCAGTGCAGGTGACCCCTGCTGAGAAGCGTCCCCCGCCGCTGGGGCAGTGGACAGGGCCATGGCGCTGGCACTGCTGCAGGGCCAGCTCGGTGCCGGCACAGCGCACCCCGCTCATCACAACCCGGCTGGCATCGGGGCTGCCTGCCCAGTACCACGTCTCCTGAGCAGAGGAGGAGGAGCACAGTGCTTGGACCAGTCCTTGCCAGCGCCCACCTGCCTCCCCTGCCTCCTCTCCTACCCCAACACTGCCACCAGGATTTGTCCCCCCATTGTCCCATCCCAGAGCCCCTGGCCACACCATGCCCACACTGTCCACCCTGCAGGACCCCTGCAGTCCTGGCCCCAGGCTGGTGCCCCACTCACCTGGAGGGCATGGCTGGCAAAGCCCAGCCCCAGCTGCCTGCAGACCACCATGGCCTCGTTCAGGCCCCACTGTGCACCACACACTGCACCCCACTGCAGCTGCCCCTGCACTGGCACCAGCACCTCCACCACGCCTTCCTCGGGGTTGCGGCCCCCGGCCAGCCGCACCTGTTGGCAGAGAGGGAATGGAATGTGGCACAGACTGCCAGCTCTCCCACCCCACGCTGCAATGGGACGAGCAGCCCGCACATCCAGCTGAACATCTCCCTCATCTTCCTCTTCTTCCGTTCTCCCTACAAGACCAGTGTTCCCACCAGATCACCCTGCAGAACCCCATCAGGGCGCTGCTCTGTGTCCCCCCACCCCGGGTCACCTCAGGGCTGCTCTGAGCACACACTGGGCACAGGGCTTGGGGAGCAAGGACTGTGCAAGGGGGCTGGGGTTCAACAGGCTCTGGGAAGGCGGCAGGGACTCACCTGGCTCTTGAAGTCCGTGTGGGGCACGTGGCAGCGGACAGCAGCGTCGGCCTCGTGCCGACACCCGCTCTGCTCAGCATCCTGGAAGCGACACTCGCCCAGGGAGCGCTCACGGCCAGTGCACTGTACATGGCTCAAATGGATGGGCCCCAGACCTGGAGCACAGGAAGGGTCAGTGCTCCCTGCTCCACGACCATCCTGGAGCAGGACCCTCATCTCCTTCCCCTGGTCTGGGCATTCTCTATGGGAATGGGGCTGCCCATGGCAGGAGCAGACAGGGTGGCCTCATCCCAGGGCAGGCTGGAGCTGCATGAGCATCCCAGGATTCTCCATCAGGACACACTAAACCAGCTGATTTCCCCATCGTACCCCTCCAAGCCCAGAGGTTTCCCAAGTCCATGCTGTAACACCTGCCTCACCTTGTCCCATCCGGGCTCCCACCAGGGCCTGCTTCGCTGTCCCATAGCCCAGCTGCCGGCACACCACACTGGCTGCAGCCAGGTCCCACTGCTTGTCACACACGGTGCCCCACTGCCCGTGGCGCAGCACCTCCACCCGGCCCTCGGCAGCGTGGGTGCCCGCTCGCAGCCGCACTGGGAGCACCTGGGTACGGAGAGCAGCCAGTCAGCACCCCCAGGACACTGCCAGCCCCCTCCTCAAGGGCAAATGGGCTGGCTGGGTGCTGCCCAGCCCCGGGACTCTGTAGGTGGGAGAGGGTGTGCAACTCTGCG